CCCATTTCCAGGGACCATCTGTACTTCCTAGCAATTGAACCCACATCCATGCCTTTGGAGATGACCAGCAGGACTGGGTAAGAAGTCTGCATCTGGCTTTCTGCTCTGCACACATGTTTTTGTCTGGACTCCAAGGCCTGACAGCTGAAACTTCTGGAACGCCCTAGGCACTGCTGAATCAGATGTTTTTCAGCTTCGGTGATTCACAACTTCCAACTTGCAGAACATTCTCAAGCTAGCTATTTTTTGGAGTCCCTTTTCTCCAGCTGCCTCCAAAATGAACTGTCCCCAGCCCTGAATTTCACTGACAGTGAGGTGTTTCTGTGGAAGTCTGGTTGAGGGCCATGCCAGTGTCATCGCCCTATACTGGGCTTTGAAGTCATGATGACCCACTGATTTTTATGTGATGAAGTTGCTGTTGCAGTGCCTGAACCCAGGCAGGTCCATGCAACCCAGCCTGGCATCCTATGTTTCCATATGGCCCCAACCGGGTTGCTTTGAGCTCTCAGTCCTCTAGAAGTAGGGTCCCCTGAGGCACCACAACATAGAAAAGGCCATATAGAGCCCTGTTGGAATATGTGCATGCACAGCTTTGGACAGCCACTGGAGACCTGCTGTCTCCTTTACTGAATTCTGAGACATTGCAGGTGCTCAGGATGGAGTGACCTCCATCCCATCCCACAGTAGAGTAGTTAAGAAACATGAATCATTCTGTTAATCCCATCTGCTGAGACGGGAGCTTCTAGACCTTCACATTGGTAGCGTACTGGGGACAGTTGCTCTCTGCTCCATGTTTGTTTGGAGAGTGCATTGATTTGGGCAACTGTCTTTGTTCCTGATATCTGCTCAGCTCCTGCAGGAAATGCTGTTCATATCAACAGAGATGGCAACAGGCTGGGCTTACTGTCAAGGAGACTGAGTTGCAGAATGATCATCCCTGATTCCCAACAGAGCAACTAAGAGCTTGGGCTTGAAAGTCAGTCATCCAGGCCCATATTTGAATCCAGATGCACATTTAACAGTTGGTTGACTTGGGCAAGTTACTGCACTTTTCCAAAAGTGTTTCCTTATCTGTAAAAATGGAGACAAAGGAGCATGAGGAAACTTCAAAGAGATAATAAATGCAAAGGGTAGGCACACGGACTGCGGCCCGGTAAGCACTTGGTTAATACTAACAATAATTATTTTTCTTAATGGTGAGAGTTCCCACCAGGAAGCAAAAATAAGCTGTGGCAGAAACATTGCTAAGTGTTCATCTGATTCCATTTTACTTTTCGCTTCTTAAGTACTATAGACTTGAGGACTGTCTATGATTAGGTCGAGGTCAGATGGCTGAGTTTTGACCAATGGGAGGTGGATGCAAATGATGCACACCACATCTAGGCCTGATCTTTAAAAGGTTCCGACTTCTGCTCTCTCCTTCATTTGCACAGCTAGAAATGAAGAACCCGGAGATGTCAGAACCGCAGGATAGAAGCAGCTCAGGTGTTTGAGTACCTGCTGGGAGGTGACATGACAAGAGAACAGCCCTGTACTGGACTTAGTGGGAGTGAGAAATTGTTATTATATTGAGACATTGACATTTCAGGGTTTATTTGTTACTTCAGCATAACATAGTCTATCCAGACTAATTCACAAACAAACACTAGTACATGAAGTGGATGGGGAACCAGTTGGTCAAGATACAATGGATATTCCCAGTCAGGTAGAGAAGTGTAAATTTTTCGTCAGGATGAAAATAACTCACTATTTTACAACAAAGTTGATTGCAAATTTCCCATGCAACCTCCCACTGGAACCAGACAGTTGTGCCAGGAGGAGACAAGTCTTGTGACATGAAAACCCCTTTGTTTGCACTTTCTGGTCTTCATATAGCAACACTGCTGTTCCACTTCCATACCCCAAACTTTGCATGATTCTGTAGATTAAGAACATCCTCTCCATAAATTTCAATAAATTGGCAGTGAATTTCTGCAGCGGAAACATATTCTCATTTAAAACTGCACATCATGGCATGTATCTTTGTCTGGGGACCACCTGTTGAAGGAAGCAGCCATCTGTACACAAAGTCATAAATGATCACATTCAGTCCAAGTTAAAACATGGCCATACATGTTTAACAAAACATCATGCTCCCTGGATCATGGCTGTCCTATGCCAATGGAACCAGAAATGAATCCTGTAAAGCTCTAATGTGAAGACCCAAGGGCCTTTGCAGATACTGTTCTCTCTGCCCAGAATGCTCACTTTACATATGGCTAGTCTTCATCTTCAGATCTCTGCCCAAAAGTCACCTCTTCAGAGATGCCTTCCCTGAATGCTCTTTCTACAGGAGGTAGCTCCCACCCTTACTTCTCTATCTCTGCACCACATCCATTTCTTCCATAGAACTTACTATATGTAATTTGGGGAGGGGGGTTGTATATGTAACTTATTTCACTAGACCCGAGTAACTGGGAAACTCCTCAACCTCTAGAATTCTGCGTATATGAACTGATAAAGCCCCTGTAGTGTTTAAGCCAATTTCAGCTGAATTTTCTGATATTATAGCTGATTTTACAGCTAAAATCTTCCTAACAAATATTTCTCCTCTTTATAGTATTACTACTATTATCTTCCCTGAGATTATCTGTATAAATTAAAAATCCACTATGTGCCAGGCACTGCGTTAGGTACTTTATTTCATTTAATCTTCACAATAACTCTGAAAATTAGCAATTATTTAATGCTACTATATGAGTGAGGAAATTGAAGCCCAAAATGTGTAATTAACATCGTTGGCTCTGAATTCCTTCCTTTGGTGAACTGTCCTCCCACATTCTGTGTGATTCCATGTCATTCAAATATACTGCAAGGTGGGTATATGATCCAGGCTGGCCAATAAGAGCACTTCTCCACCCAGACTCTGTGATGGGCCAGAAGGAGACACATGACCCAAACAAAGACAATCACAGTCCTTCCTTGTTACATAAATGCTAGGACATTAAGACCTATCTGGTTGGGGTATCACACTCTCAAATAACGTCATAACCCTGCTTTGGCCAGGAGCTATCTTGCTGCCATGTGGAGAGGGCATGCTAAGAATAAAGCCTCATCCAAGGAGAGTGAGTGAAAAGGAGGCCAGTGAGATCCTTTGAACTCCTGGATCCAACTGTGCCCGAGAAACACACCTGGGCTTCTCGGTTCCGTGAAGCAGTAAATTAGTCATTAGTTAGCATGGTCTGAGTGGATTTCTGTCATTTGCTACTGAACAAAGATGGAAAGAGCATTATGTAGAAGTTAAATACACATTAGTTCTCTCAACTTTTCCTCCTTAAAGTGACCACTGCCCATTAACCCCACAACAGTTGACAACATGTCAGCTGCTGCCACTACAAGCAACCCTATTTTTTCACTATGCTTACTATGTCACATTTGGTCCAGCCTCTAGGCCACGCACAGGCTGTTCTTTCTGCCTGGATAGAGAATTATGTCTTTTCCAAGGTCCACACTTCTAAGCAAATATACTCCACAAATGACCTACAGCACCTCTACCTGCAAATGACTGCCCATTTGCTAGTGGGGGCAGGGGCTATAGTAAGAATTAAAAGCCCACAGGTCTTTAAATGTCCTATTTTAAGTCAGTGAATATTGCCCTGCCAATAAAGGACTATTGTTTCTCATTCATATTGAGTTTTATATTCAAGGTAACTTCATAGAATTTCTCTCATTCCTTCTTTTTCGTACCCCTGTTAGAGTTGGGTAAGAGGGCAATGAATACACCCATTAGACAGATGAGAAAGCTGAGTTCCAAAAAGGTGTAGCAACTTAACTCAATTGCAATTATCAAGTCCAGACTGAACTTGGAATTCTTCCCACCTCGGCCCAACCTGAGAGGCACCAACATGTTCTAATTTGGCAAGCCACAATTATAAGCATCCATTCCCCAACCTCCTACCACACCCAGCACCTGGTCAATTTGGACAACTAAGCCCTATCAGGTTAGGTTACCAGATAGTATACAGTATGCCCAGCTAAATTTGAATTTCAGACAATTTTTTTTTTTAGTATAAGCATGACCCAAATATTGTCTGGAACACACTTATACTGAAAAATTATTCATAGCATATGTGAAGTTCAAAGGTAACTAGGCATTCTATAGTTTTATTTGCTAAATATGGCAATGCTACATCAGATGTTCTTCCAGTAAACTAGAAAAGGGGTGCAAGTTGTAATTTATTTGGAAAGTCAGACTTTTCTGGAATGGATCCTATAACACTACTATTCTGTGCAGAGCATCACTCTCTAATGTTTGATACTAGGGTAGGGTTTGATGTCACTTGATATTATGGCCAGGATCCAGGAACTCTTCAATCTTGTTCTATGATGCACCTCTCCTTCCGAGAGCTTTGTGGAGGGTCTATTTGCACAAGAAACAGTGGCAAAATGGGACTCAAGATACTATGTCATTCTAGGCAGAGCCGCGAGTGGCCTTCCCCATTAGGAAATCATGACCCACTGATCTTGGACTCTGATTAATCCCAATCAGATTAGCAACTTCCTGCCCTTGGGATAGAAGGGAGTGCCTAGGGAAAGGGCAGGCACAGGAAACTGCAATGTGGGGGAAAAGCGTGGCTGAGTGTTAGCCTTTGATGACGTCTAGAGTTCAGAACTAAGGAACCTGGTGAGTAGTCTCTGTTGGAAACCAAGACTGAGAACATGTAAATTTGGAAGCTATGGGATAAGCCAAGGTAGGTTCCATAATCAGGGAGGAGAAAGCCAGGGTATAAAAGGAGAAGAAAGCTGATACGCAAAGAGAAGCAGAATAGAGGGTATACTGTCCTCTTCAATCCACCACTCCAATTCTTAATTCCAGCTGCACTGCAAGCTGCATTTCCTCTTCTGAGAACTTCGAATAAATTCCCTTTTGTGCTTAAGCTCATTTGGGTAGGTGTCTGTTACTTATATTGATTCTGACACTTACTTGACTAAGAAAAACCACCAAATAAAGAAGCACGCTCTCTGGTTCAGTTCATTGCAATTTATTTAATTTAAAAATAAAAACAGAAACAAAAACCAAAATGAAACAAAAATCAGTTTCCAATAAAAATACAAACACTTTGGGTAGTTATCCAGCTTTTTTTTCCCCTGTAGGCTGTTCTGGGCTCAAACCAATCAAATGAGTGAAAACCAATTTTGACAGGAGCCATAAAGCATGTTGCACCAATTAAATTACACCAATATATTATTATAATACCTTTGAAATGCCTTTCAGACCAATAAATAAAAAAGACAAATTCAAATAAAAAAGTCAACTTTTTATTACCAAAAAAAAAAAAAAAGAAATTAAATAAAAGTCACAACGTGGATTTTTTTTTTTTTTTTTTTTTAAATGTGCAGTCAAGTTTCTCTTTTTTTTTCTTCTAGGAATGATACCATGCCAGTAAATCCCTACAGAACATTTCCAGTTTGGCAACAAGCAGTCAGTCGATCATTCACATTTGTACTCAAGACAGCAGGCCTGGGCAAAACTCGCCTGAATTTCACCCTGAAAAGTGCTCCCCAACATCTGAAGAAGCAGCACCTGGTAACAGGGATGGCAATTCAGAGGGTACTTAGCATTTTCATTTCACCTGGGGTCTTGAAGCACTTCCTGAAAACTGATCGTGCCTTGAAATTTACCTGTAAAAAGAACTGTAATTCTACCCCTTTGGCAGATGTGTAAACTAAGACGGTGCAAGGCCCACAGAAGCAAAGAGAGGACCAGGAAAGCTGACAGCGAATCTCCTGCTTTGTCCATCAGGTCCTAAAAGTGTCTCTCACTTGTAATTCCACGGAAGTGAATAAAGCATAACTTCTTTGACTGGGATTGGCTGGTAGGGATGACAGGACTTAATGATGAAGCAGGGAGCTGCTTTAACGGCTTTTCCCTCTATTGCAAGTTTTTCCTTGAAAAGACAGTCAACATCACACCTAGAATCAGAGGATGTTGGCAGTGTCAGAGCTAAGCAGGGCTTCAGGGACCAGCTAATTCATCCTTCCAGCCCTCACTGGAAGGAAAACTTAACCACCACAAACAATGCAGATGCCTAAGGCCACCTATGACTTAACTCAGAGTCTCTGCCTCTGAATGGAGGATTTTCTCTGCCACAGTCCACTGGCTGAGTTTCCTGACGAAAGAGAACACGTGTTTGCGGGGAGGAAGAAGGGAGTAGACTGACTTTCCTCAATAGTGTCATTTTTATTTAAAGACTAGAATGATGGAAAATACTAAACAGACTCAATCACTTGGCAAAAGGAAAAAGGACATCAACCAGTAGGTTGGTGCTAGATCTAAGTCATACTGACAGCTAAGGACACGGCCAGCTGCCGTGCGCAAGGGGCCAGCAGGGCAGCAGCATAGGCTATTCAGAAAAGCCAGAATGAAATGAGGCAGGAAGTAGGGAGCTCAGAGTTGCAGGTTGCCCTCCATGCACCCACACCCCCATCCCCCCCGCCCCCCACACACGCACAATTTGCTATCTACAGATTTTTTTTTTTTCCCTTTTAACCTCTATTAGAGTTCAGGAAGGAGGTGGAATTGAATGAAAGGAAACTGAGCAGCTTCCCATAACACACTGCTCAGCTCAACCTGAAGGAATGCACAAGCCAAAACACCAGAGCCGGTGGCAAGGGGAGAAACCAAACTGTCTCCTTAAGGAAAGGGCAATTCCATTCTAATGCACTTTCTTAGCACTGTAAGGTGAATTTTTTCTTCTCTCTCTACGAACTATTTTTTGTTGGTTTTTCCAAAGATGTTCCCAAGACCGGTCTTCCTGTCTATCTACATGGCTACCAGTGGTGGCCATCTTGAAATGAGTTCAATTTGCCTTGGCCAGCAGAATCTGAAGTCATCCCAAAGAGACCAGGAAGTCCAAACCTAGAATCCTGAAGGTGTCCCATGGTTGGAGTGGCATCTTGTCATTGTGATCCGGGTGTTTAGAAATTACATATCTAATGTTTTTTTCTTTTTTTTTCTTTTTCTTTTTTTTTACTTTTTAAGATAAGAGTCCTGCCGCACCTCTTTTCTACCTCCCCCAGAACCATCTGGGTGACATCTAAGGAAATGTTCACTCTCTTACATGCTTCCTCCCACCCCCCTGCACTCTTTCAACACCTTATTCATTTAAATGAATGGAACTTTCTTCTCCCCCAAAGCCCAGGAGTTCATGTCAAAGTTTAAAACCATGACATAGAATACTTAGATTTGGGGGAAAAAAGCACCGTCTACCTGATTTTCCTTTCCTCATCCCAATATCCCACCTACATCTAACTCCCTAGAAGCAAACTTGTCTACCTCTGAGGATGCTACACTCAGTGGATGGGGAAACCATTTGTCATTGGTGAACAGAGCCAATGGTTGAGCCAGGTAATCCTCTGGAAACTATGGACAGTAGCACGTCCAACTCAAAGCATCCATGCATGTGAGAACCCAAGAGGCAGCATTCCAGTTAATATTGAGAAAGAAAGTGACAAGTTGCCTCTTGTTGGTGCACATCAACTTCCATTCATCTGTGCAAAGATCACAGACCATCTTGTGCCCTGTCATATACAATAGTTTTTACCTCTGACACCATCATCTTTCTCCCTGTCCACACTCAAGAGGTTGTGCTGTAGAGCAAGGCAGACATCAGGAAAGAGGAGGTGAACAGCAAGGAGCTAAATCACCATGGGCTGACTCTATGTCCTTAGCAGAGTTCAGAGTGTTCTCTCTCTGACCAAGGCCCTGTCTTTCATCAAAGTTGAGTAGCAAATTAACAAATGCCTCACCAGTGGATGAAAGAGTTAACATAGATCCCACAGGATGACTAAACCCAATTCCGAGGGCCCAGCCAGATCAAAGATGACAACTACATAGCATTAGTGCTACTGCTTCCCTTCCCTTTCCCGTGGTAGCCATTACTAGTCAATTACAGCACTCCTTCCCCATGATGTGGGCCACTCACACCAGCACAACCGGCAGCCACTATTAATTGATCATCAACTCAAGCTCAAGTTGCTGAAATCTACTTGCCAGCTCCATGCAGCCAGACCTAGCTTGCTAATGCAAGGAGAAAAGGGGCAAGTTCTTCGGGCTCACCCAAGGCAAACAGCCCAAGTGTCTCCTGCCCCTCCTCCAGAAGCATTTGGATAACTTCTAAGGAAATGCTCCCTCCCCATATGCTTCCTCTCTACCCACTGAGTGCCGGTCAACACCACCTCTCCTGGACAGCTGGTCCTCTAGGAGGTGCCATAAAGCAAATGCCAAATAGGGCCCAAATTCTGACTGACAGTTGTCAGAACTGGCAGAAGAGCCCACCCCTCCCTTTTAAGTGTTGGCTCAAGGCTGCAAACTTGGCCAAGTGAGACAGTGCCAATCCTTTTTCAGTCTGTTGTCATGGCCAGCAAAGAGGTAACCAGCCTATGAGCCCAAGTCTTGCTCCCCTTCCTCCCTCGTACCCCCACCTGCCCCCGGCGCCCTGGAGTGCTAGTTGAGCTTGCTGCAGATCTCTAGCGCTTGCTTGTAGACCTGAGTCACATCATCCATGTCTGCGAGGAGGGAGAAGCTGCTGTCTGCCAACCGGTTCCGGTACCGCTTCAGGTACTGGGGCCGGGGCCGGTTCTGGAGCCCCTCAAAGTCCTGGATCTGGAGGAAGTTTTCTGCAGAGACGCAGCTGCGGATGCGCTGGCGGGCAGGGCGATTCTCCTGCAAATCCAGCAAGTCGAAAGAGTCGCTGGACAGCACGCTGTCATCGCTGATGACACTGGAAGGACGGCTGTAGCTCCGGGAAAGGCCCTCGGCAGGGACACCAGGCTCTGACAGGGATTCCAGTGTGGGCATTTCAGGGCTGACCAGGGCCGGGTCCATGGCGCCCGCTGAGTATTTGCTGCTGTGTTTCAAGATGCCCTTCCTCCGGCAGGAGAGGCTGTGGGAGGTCACCCTGGCTGGGTCTGGGGGGCTGGGGGAGGGGACACTGCTGCCCATCACATCGTTACTGTCCAACAGCTCCGAAGACTCGCTGCGCTCTGGGGAAGAGTAGTAACCTGATTCTCTCTGCTGGGTCTTTTTCAAGATGCCTTTCTTGGGCATCGTGGCCGACTGCTTGGGGCTGAGTTTTCCCGGCACCTCTGCCTCTGGTGAGCTTGGGAGGAGCACACCAGTCCTGCATAAGTCCTGCTCCATCTTGAAAGTAGAGGGTAAGGCAGGACCAACTACACCTTCAATGAAGCCAGTGCTGTGAGAGCGATGCTCGCTGTTGCTTCGCTTCTTCAGGATCCCCTTGGGCCTCTTAGAACTCAACTTGGATGGGCTTTCAGGCACTGCATCCAGACCAGACTGAGCAAAGTCATTCTCTTTCTTGGATTTCTTCAGCGACCGCTGCCGCTCTAGCATGACCTCAGAGGTCGTGGGTTTGACCAGGCCCTTCATTTTGGCTTCGGTGTCAGCCTGCAGCCCTGTGGAACGGTGGTGCCAGTCAATGATCCGAGCCAGGAGTGGGGACTCAGAGTCATGGAGGGCATCGCAGTCACACACGCTGCTCTTATAGCCCCAGTTCACCCACCAGTGGTTGGCAATGTCCTCAATAGTGGCCCGGCGATCGGGGTTCACCATCAGCATCCACCGTATGAGTCCTCGAGCATCTAAGGGACAAGGGACAAAAAGAATCGGGCATTACGTGGGAGCTTCTAGCTTTGTGATAGTGGGACCCTCCAGCAGTGATGAAAGACACACACTCCCTCTAGGAAAAATCCATTTGGAGACCTGGTCCAGTCACATTATGGAGCAGGATGCCCCAGCCTTTTAGACCATCCATCAAAAGCGTAATCAAGACTTGGAACAGGCCGGGGTGCCATCACATGGTGGCATGTTTTCCCTATAAGTGAGGAAATGTCATAGAGCTATGAAGCTTTTCATCATCTTGAATCTTTAGAAAATGTGGAAGGTCAGGTAACCAAGAAAGAATCCAGACTTGACCCCGAGAGGTGCCCCACCATTCCTTTGGCGAATATCATTTTACCAAAGGAAAAACAGGTGTAGATCACCATTGCTTTCTTTATTCCTCCACAGGTGGGCTTGTATAAACACACAGCACCTGCAGTCACTGGGCAAGCATGCCAGAGACAGAACATGGAGTGTGGCTCAGAGGCACTTACCTGACACACCTGGGCAGTAAGAGCGGCTGTCTCCGAAACTGGCCTCCCCCCAAGGTCCTGGCCAGGTTCTGAGACCAATACTCAGTGAGCTCGCCTTCTTTCCCTCTCTGACATAAGCCTTCTCCTACTGAGCTGTCAGATCAGAGAAGTGATCTATATCTGCTACCCATTCACAGCCTGTCTGAAAATTCTACTTGCAAATTTCTGCTGCCAGACAATTAGGGAAAACCCCTAAAGGGATGCTGAGAAGGCCACAGGAACCAACTGACTCTCACAGCTTATAAACTGACTTTTAGGTTCAAACTGTGTTCCCCCAGTCGGGGTGAATTATATTCTGGGAAGCTGCCACCTCCCCTCAGCTGCTTATGTAGGCGAATGAGAAGCTGGCAAAGGCCTGGTAAAAGGGACTGGGGCAAGAAACACCTCTGAAAAGTACCAAGATGATCATCCTCAGTCATTCAATAAGTATTTCTTGAACCCCTACAATGTGCCAGGAAGCGCATTGGCATCAGTTAGCTGGTGAGGCAAAGAAGACCACTTTAGAGGTCACTCTGAATTTTTCCAAAAAGAATAGGCTGGCTTGTTGAAAAAATTATATATATATATAGAGAGAGAGAGAGAGAATGCATATCTATATATACACACATACAACAGTCTAGCCTCAGTATCCATAGGGTCTGTATTTGCAAATTTGTCTACTCGCTAAAATTTATTTGTAACCTCAAAATCAATATTCACAGCTCTTTTGCAGTCATTTTTGCATATGCACAGAGCAGCAAACAATTAGAGTCACCCCACCCAACACACGTATGTATTCACAGCTAACGTCAAACAAGGCAACACTCTGCCTTCTTATTTCAGATCTCATACTATTATACAAAGTGTCTTTTTCTCAGTCTATTTAGTGCTGTGTTTCTCACACTTCTTGGAATTTTTATTGGCGATTCCTCCATTTTAAATGACCCCCCAAAACAGTGCTGAAGCACTGTTTAGTGTTCCTAGCACAAGAAGGCTGTGATGTGCCTTATGGAGAAGATAAGTGTGTTAGATCAGCTTTGTTCAGGCATGAGTTACAGTGCTGTTGGCTGTTGAGTTTGATGTTAATGAACTAATAATATAGATTAAATAAGGTGTCTTTAAACAGAGACACACATAAAACAAGGTTATATATCAATCAGTTGACAAAAATATTGTGAGCAGAGGCTCTCAGGAATCTAACCCTCTATTTCCCCTAGGAGCAATAGTTCAGTATTCACAAATTCAGTGTCTCTAGCAACTTTGTAGAACATAACTACTATGAATAATGAGAATCAACTGTGTATGTGCAGATATACAGATATACATATATATATGTGTATATATATATGCATGTGTATAGTATGTATATAAATGAAGTGCCAATGTTAACTTCATTTTTTAACAAAAATGACCAATGATGACCAGCTGTACACACTCCCTGTACAGGCATGATACTTCCCATCAAGAGATGGAGCTCATGACTGTGGTTGTCTTGACCAATAGAACACAGCAGATATGACACAATCTGGGTACAAGCGTGGACATAGCACTGGCACTCCAGCCTGGGCAACAGAGCAAGACACTGTCTCAAGAAAAACAAATTTTAAAAAAAGAAAGAAGGCTCAGCAACTTTTTATTCCTCTTTCTTAGAACCCCTTGCTGCCACTGTGGGGTGGCACCTCAGAGAGCACCAAGGAAGGTCCACTGTTCAGCCCCAGCAGCCGCCCCCGCTGCCATCTGCTTACAACTGTAGGAAAAAACCCAAGGAAGGCCAGAAGAGCACCTCCCAACCCACAGGAGTGAAAGAGGTGATTTCAAGGTTGTGTAAACCACTGAGTTTGTTTTGTGGGGGCAGATGGGGTAGAGTTGTTATGCAGAAATCAATAATGAGACAGTGCCCATGAGCCATACCCTATGCCAGTGGCACAGGAGTGAGAGACAGAGCAGTGGCCACCCTCACAGTATTTACATTCTGAGGTGGGTGGTTTCTATGTCTACTCAGACTGGGAGAGACCTCGTCTAATACCTTTTCCAAAATTTGTACTTATAGTGGAGAATCTGAATCCAAAGAGCTTAAGTGACTTGCCCAGATCCACACAGCAAGCAAACAGGACTCCTAGAATGTGTGCTCTGAAAAGTTCCTTTGGGAAGGTTTGGGGAAAGCAGCCTAACAAGCAAGCTTTGCCAAGGATGATGCTTCTGGGAAGAAGAAAGAGGAAAACCAGGAGACTCCAGACAGACATACTAAAACAAACGCAGAAAATGAGAGTGGGTAAACAGGTCTCTCTCCCCTCCACCTCTGGCCCTCCCTCCACAGGGCACGCACCTGAGGGCTGCGTGGGCTCCCGGTACTCTCCACTGCTGATCTGCCGAATGAGGTTTTTGTGATCGAAACCATCGAAGGGCATTGTTCCATAGACAAGGGTGTAAAGCAACACGCCCAGGGCCCAGCTGTCCACCTGAAGCAGAGAGACAGCACATATAGGAGCTGGGAAACAGATCCCAAGGTGCCTTCCAAACCATTAGCATCACAGCCTGTGAGCAGCCACCCCCAATGCCCCCAGGAACTGAATTTAGCACCTGGAAGACAGATTCCCACTACAGCCTGACATCTGACAGCAATGCAGCTGGGACCTGCTACGGAGCCTGACCTTTCCATTCTGAACAGAGGCCTGTGGTCCCAATTGGTAAAGTACTTTCTTAAACAGATTATCTTATTTAATCCTCACTACAATTTTGTGAAGCAGTTAGGGCCAGGACTATTTTCAGCCCCATTTGACAGATGAGAATACTGAGGCAGGAAGAACCTAAATGGTTTCTCCAGAGGCCCTGCCCCAGTGATGGAGGTAAAACTGGGATGTGGGGCTCTTCATTCCTAATCCAGGAATCAATTCCTTCCTGCACTTTCTTCAAATGAATCAGGAATTACAAACTGAAATCTTGTAAGAGCCAAGCAAACAACAGATATACACAAAGCAAGAAAGAATTGGGGTTACGACATAGAGTGTTGGGGATGGAGACAAACTGTACAGTACATTCACCCGTCTTAGGCAGACAACCTCTGTTTAGCTAATTGCTGCCATGTAGTAATGTGGGCCCAGCACTACTAGATTCTTTGGTTTTTCAAGAGAAGTCAGAAACCAAACTTTTATATGAAATCTCCTAATTATTACATGTTTGCGCAATTTTTAAAAATAAAAACTAAGGTGGCCAAATAAAGGAGTTTGCTGACCAGATCACAGGCTGCCAGCCTGTAACCTCAAAAAACAGGTCATCAAAGACCAAAATATTCATTATCTACGAGAAATTTAGTGTTGAGTTTGTACAAGTTTGTAAATTGAGTTCTATGATCCTCCCTCGCATTCTTATTTTAGAAAGACTTTCTCTTCATTGCAGTTGATAGATGGTCTTGGCATCCTTCTCTTTACCCTTCAGCCCTGCCCCGAAACACTCTCAAACAGATAAATATTTAAAAGAAAACATTTCAACACACTGAGCAGTGGCTATTTAAAGGATACTGAGTGGATGAACTTCTCTGAAAAGAGAACCATCTTTCAAAAAGAGAATCATCACGCACAACTCACTCATTTTCAAAATAAAATTTCCACATACCCATATCTTACAGTGGCCCTTGAAACACTAGCATGTAGGGAAATGTGTTTCTCATGAATTAGAAGATGTCATTAAAATGTATTTCCTTAGTCAGACATGCATGCTGCCAAAAATATATACAAAAAAATGATATTTACTCCAGCGTGAGGCAATTTTTTGTTTTTTGTGTCTGTTTTGATATAATAGGGAAAAAACTAAATGTTCACATCTAGACATTACTAAATAAATTATGCTATATTCATCAATAAAATGTCATTAAAATCATGTGTTTTTTTTTTTTGAGACAGAGTCTCGCTCTGTCGCCCAGGCTGGAGTGCAATGGCACGATCTCCGCTCACTGCAAGCTCCGCCTCCCGGGTTCTCCTGCCTCAGCCTCCCGAGTAGCTGGGACTACAAGTGCCTGCCACCACGCCTGGCTAATTTTTTTGTATTTTTTAGTAGAGACGGGGTTTCACCATGGTAGCCAGAATGCTCTCGATCTCCTGACCTCGTGATCTGCCTGCCTCGGCCTCCCAAAATGCTGGGATCACAGGCATGAGCCACCATGCCTGGCTGAAAATCATGTTTTTAATAATGAATTTGGAAAGTGTCACAAGATAGTTTTGATAGTAAAGGGCAAGATATACATATGTGTGTCATATACATATGTATATCTTGCCTTTTATTAACTTAATCTCAATTAGTTTTGAAATGCAGAGATCTACACTGGGAAAAGTTTAAAAGTCACAAAAGTATTAAGTGATTCTCTTTTGTGGGGGGATGGCAGGAACCTTTATTTTCTCCTTTAGGCTTTTCTGGGTTTTCCAAATTTCCTCCCAGGAGTATATATTATTGCTTTTATAATCATATAAAGAAAAGTTTTCCTTGCTTGCTTTTTTAGGCTCTGTTTTTTTAAGCATTTCTCAAATCCAATTTTTGCCCTTCCTCCCTCTTCTCCCTCCCCTCCCCCGCCCCATATGCATCGGGCAAGCTGCTCACCTCTGGCCCTCGGTAAGGTCTCCCATTGACAATCTCAGGAGATGCATAGAGTGGACTCCCACAAAACGTTTGTAAGAACTTATCCTTCTGGTACAGGTTGGAAAGCCCAAAGTCAGCAATCTACAAAGAGAAGCAAGACCCAGGGAGACTTGTTAGCATTCCAGATTATGTCTGTGTTGAATCAGTTCACACCACACAGCACACAGAGTGGATGAACAGCACCTGGGTTGGTCTGCTGGCTGGATCGCCATTTTCTCTCCAGCCCTGAGTCTTCATAAAGGACCACTCAGCCCAAGCAGGTCCCTGTTTCCTAGCTGCAGTCCTTGGCATCCATCACAAGTTCTACCAAATCTGCAGACTACAAGCTTTGTGACTTACTTAGAAATTACTCTTTAAATGGACGCTCTATTTAAACTTTAATTGAGACTTGCTCTGAGAAATAACATTCACAAAATCACTGGCTTGATGTTTCTGATGAACTTCAAAGCATGTAACTATTAATTTAGGAATTCTCCCTCTGTGGTCTACCCAATCATACTGCATCTGCAGTGACGTGCATATCACCCTGTGGAAAACCCCTGACCTACGCAACTGGTGATACCACCTCTGTATCCACTCACACCCTGATCAGAACTGTATTTTGACTGTCTTGTGACCTGAGATGAAGTGGACTAATTGACTCACAGCATTGGGTTTTGAGTCATCATATTTCAGCCCAACTCTGCACCTATCCATCTGTCACTCAGTGACCTTGAGCCTCAGTTTACCCACCAGAAAATGGGAATCCATGATCCCTTCCCTGTTCTAGCTCACAGGATTATCATAAGAATAAGAAGAAAAATAAATCAATCGAGATGAGACCTTGGCCGAGCAGATCATTTGAGGTCAAGAATTCGAGATCAGCCTGGCCAACACGGAGAAACTCCGTCTCTACTAAAAATATAAAAATTAGCCAGGCATGGTGGTGCATGCCTGTAATCTCAGCTACTCTGGAGGCTGAGGCATGAGAATCACTTGAACCTGAGAGGCAGAGGTTGCAGTGAGCCAAGATCGCACCACTGCACTCCAGCCTGGGCCACAGAGGGAGACTCAATCTTTAAAAAAAAAAAAAAATGAGACTGTGAGTGTAAAAGTGCTTCATAACCTTCAAGTTTCATGCAAATGTTTCACCTAGCTTTGTTTTCATTGTACTCTACACTCCTTGGAATCATTCTCTTCTCCTTTGGTTTCTTGAAATGTTTTATGTGTTATTCATGACAGCATTTTTACATATATATGTATATGTATATGTGCACATATATATGCATATATACATACATATATATATTTGCTTTCCCTACCAGACTCTGAGTTTCCTGAGGCAGTTGGCAGGTTCCACATCCACCCCTTAACTTTGTATCATCCACTCCTTAGCACCCGCCCATACCCAAGAAACACTTGTCACTGAAACAGGCATTATATTTTGAAAAGCACAAGATGATTAATACATAATGCAAAATAATAATAATAATGATAAACTTAATTGCCACTTTTTGAACAACTTCCAGTTATCAGGTACTGCTCCAAACACTTTAAATTCTTTAATCTAATCTTAACAAAAACCTGGTTTACACAGCAATGTGAATGCATTTTATGCCTAAAAAAGGTTAAAATAGTTTTATGTTATGTCCACTTTACCGCAAATTTTTTGAAAAATTCATTTAACAGATGAGGAAATTGAGGTTTAAGGAGATGAGGTTACTCATTTAAGGAGATGAGTAACTAATATGCAGCAATATAAACCCCCGTGTCTCTAAAGCTTCAAACCACAGTGCCACCTTCCCCTGGGTCACCTGCATATTTCACTCCACTCTAAGTCAACCTTGCAAGCTGAGCCCCTGTAGGTTTCCATCATTCTCCAAGCTGATTTCCATTTGAGGCTTGGAAAAGAGCTGCATGATTCACATGCCCAGAGACAGCCCAGTCTGAATACCACCGAGGCTCTGTTGTGGTCACAGCCCCTAGAAGCAGCCTATTTTGTAAAAGTCATCCCTGAATGAACGGAATGTCATTGAAAGCAGCTGGTGTACAACCATCCTCAGAAAATGCATTCTCTGGGCTCAGACTGCACTTAATTGCCCTGAATTCCACTTTCTTATCAAGGCCCCGACTTGCTTGCAGGAAGTTGGTTGGAAGCTTTATGAAGTGTGCCCTGTCAATCAGAAGAGGCATGGAATGGCTACACACAGGAAAACGCATTCTCTTCCCGCCTGGCAGCAGTGCCTGGGGCACCAAATGAGCTTCACGTGCGTGTGAGAGGCACCCACTGCACATGTGCACACTCACGCTGGGAGTTTTCACTCCGAATCTGGGCAGCCTCTTTTGCTCTGTAGCCGTTCTGGAGAAGTGTGTTTATGTTATGGCCCACTCCCATCCTCGCAGACTGATGTTTATCAGCCTCTCCCAGTAAAACTGTCATTGCCACTGACACAAGATTAATAGAAATCCAGATTAGCCTGTGTTCTTGGCACTTCGAAGGGAAAGCAGTATTAATCAACACACACACACACACACACACACACACACACACACACACAGAGCGTTCTCAAACCTTGAGCCATTGAAACTCAGGCTTCGGCTCTAAGATTTAATGCCATATGGAACTTATATCAACTATTGATAGGAGGGGAAATGGCCACTGGTTATGAAACCTCTCTGAAGCTTCAGTTTTCTCATCTGTAAAATAGTGTTAGGAAGAGTGTCTATCCCTACTGTGCCATGGCGGAGATTAAATGACAAAAAGTATGTAAAGTCCTTACAACAGTAATTGGCCCAGAGTTGGAGCTCAATATATATTTGCTTCCCAACTTTAAATCCAGAGAGTTAATTACCTTCATTATACTAGAAGCAGAGTTTATCCCAATGCCAGGGACTCTTGACAGTGAAGAAATACAGACATTTTAGATGCCAAATAATAATGGAATTAAATAACGTTGAATAATAAAATGAAAAATTCATTCCTTTCTGGATTCACCTTCAGTTCTTTGGATTAAGTCAAGGAGAAAGTCTCAGTTGGGCACTGGTGTGTCTTCAGTATCTCTTTAGTATTTATTAAAGAGACCAGGCCTCGGGCCTAGCCTGCAGCAGCAACCAACACGAAGTTGGAACTTCATAATGCTATTTGGTTTCCATTATACTTAGTTTTGAGCTTATCTTCTATTCTTGGTAAGTGATTCTGGTTTTCCACTTAAGGTAATTATTTAGGGCTTCTTTTTCAAATAGACAGAACTTTAAAGAGTGACCTGAACGCAACAAAAATATTAAGTAAAATAGCAGTGAGGATACTGCAGAAAGGTAAAATCCATGAAAAGGATGAAAAACTAAAATTTGAGAAATATTGATTTTAAACATCATAAAACAAAAATAATCGCATCTCAGAATTACTTTGACCTGAAAGAGCCCTGAGAGATGTTAATCCTGCCCCTCGCTCTAAAAGTGAAGCAGCTGAAGGTTCCAGGGCATAAGAAGTTTTGCTGAAGGTTGCAAAAAAGGGCAGCAAGTACATGAAGGAGCACATGGATCTTCCCAAGCCGTACAGTTTCTCCAGCAGAACATCAGCTGTAAAAGGAGAGGATGACTTTCCAGCAACAAGGCGACTGGGCTGTAGTATTTTGCTGACACACTAGCAAGTAAGCCTTGGAGGAAGGTACCTAGCTGGCATTTTCACTTGTTGTTTTGACTGTTCCCCTGCTCTATACTGGTTCAGAACCACCTTCTGCCCCTGCCCTGTGCTTCAGTTCAGCCTCGATTCTCAAAAGGAGCCGTGGAACTCAAGGCTTGGGTCCTTAATATTTGGAGTTTTTTATTGTTATCAAGCCTTTCCGGAGGTGTTCCCTGCTGCATGAAAATTGGGGTTAGAAAGATAAATGAGGAAGGATTATTCATTCATATTTCAAAAGGATTAACCTCACTACAACACAGATGAACCCTGAAGACGTTATGCTAAGTGAAATAAGCCAGACACAAAAGGACACATATTATATGATTCCATGTACATGAGGTCCCTAGAGTAGTCGAATTCATAGAGATGGAAAATAGAATGGAGATTGCCAGTGGCTGGGAGGAGGGGGAAAGGGGAGTTACTGTTTAGTGGGGACAGAGTTTCAGCTGGGAAAGGTGAAAACATTTTAGCGATGGATGATGGTAATGCTTATACAACAACATGAGTATACTTAATGCCACTGAACTATGTGCCTAAAACTGGTAAGTTTCATGTTACACATATTTTACCACCATAAAAGGATTAACTCCAGAACACTGTTAATAATGAGCTTATCTGGTGAAAACTCAGTGTCACCTTGCTGACATTAACTGATAGGAAAGGATGCTGATGGCAATGATAATAATTAGTGATGGTCTAACAGTCATCTGCAGTGTTTAAGAGGAAGTGTGGTGCACTCCACAGATCAGATATTTTGGGGCCAGGAGAACTTGGGGCTAACCATGGCTTTGTCGTTACTAGGTGATGGGTGGGACCTGCCAAGTTACTCGAGTTCCTTATCTGCAAAATGGGACTCAGACTAGAACCCACCTCACATAGGTAAGAAGAGTAGAGAAAATGTATGTAAAGCTCCTAGAACAGTCCTGGGACCAGCTGACGCTATAAATTACAGCCATTATGGTAGACTGATGGTTTGGCCAACCTAACAATTGTTTGTTAGACCAGGCAAACGGGGAACCGAAAGCATTAAAGCCACTGCCCATTAAACAGCCAGGAGATCTTATCACTCGTTCATAACAGAGGCATGTCCAGGGTGAGAAGCTGCATCGTAGGATGGGAAAAGGAAAAGATTCAGGGTTTGAGTACTTGAGTTCAAATCTCAGCCTCACCTCTTACCAGCATCTAACGGAAGGCACTTTAGTTAATCCCACCCCACTCCAATCTGGCCCACGGACCAGCAGCATTAGCATCACCTGGGAACATTTCAGAACCTGAGACACTCAGGCCCCACCCCAGATCCACTAAAACTGCATTTTAACAAGAGCCCCAGTGTATAATACACACTTGCACATTAGCCATTCTGAGCCTGCATTTCTTCATCTGTAAAATGGAGTTGATGATAATAATGTCACCTACCTGG